ACCTAGTCTCCATATTGGAATCTTTACCAAACACAATAGGAAGAGGACCGGCCCAAGTTGGTGCAACAGCAGCAATTGCCTTTGGCGTCAACAAACCTTTTTTGGTAGCTCTTACAGCAATTGTTGCACCATGCCCTCCTCCAAATACCACATACTCATTATCTGCGTAATAATTAGTAGAACGAGTTGTAATTTGACGCATGCTATCAAAGAGACGTGACACGATGATTTTTTTATAAAGAAACTGGTTGAATCTAAATCAGTAAAGGCAAATTGATCTAGTTCTATGAATTTAGAAGGAAAAAGTTTTAAATATACTAGTTTATTTTGTTTGAGCCAAATTAGATTCAGACAAGGTTGGATTGGGGACAACTAACTGTGTTTGGTCAGCATATAAGCTAGCTTATAGCCTATTTGATTAGCTTATAAGCTGAAGCCTGAAGCTGAAGGTCACACATCATGGCTCCACTCAATCAACTTGCTACACTCTCCACAGTAATAAACTACATACGAACTTTGCAGTATGAATTTCACCACGACAATCAAGAAGCTCGACACAAATCACCCTTACCTCAACTCATGCCAAGCCTGGCTAGCTATGATACCATTTGCTCGAGTACCCAAGCTCAACATATGCCACCCATTTCATTTTTAGGACTAAAATTGCAGCAGAGACAATCAAAATTTATCGGATACGAGTAACTACGTTGGATTTGTACAAACCAAATAATATCATTTTCTAAAACAAACACTGATATCTAAGCAAGGCAAGGCAATGTGTGCAAGGGAAAAAGCCATAGAAGATTCACAAATAAAGAAGACAATGTGAAACGCATCACACAACCTGCAACAAAGCTGGAAATTGGACTATCAGGTGCATTAACAAAATCCACCAGGAACCTCTCCATCACATCAGCATTATAATCGAGCTTGGGCCGGCCCGAAAACCCCAAGCCGGGCCAATCCACAATAGTCGCGCTCCAATTAATCGCACTTTCACTCCCCACGATTTCCTCAGCCACAACCCTCCACTCCTCCACCGTGCTGACGTCGGAGATCGTCGGCACCAAGAGAATGTCCTTGCGCGGCCGATCGGCCGCGCCGCCGCCGTCGTGTTTCTCGAGCCTCTCGAAGTGTATATTTACGGAATTGCCCCCGAACTTCCATTGCCAGCTGCTCGGCTTGCTCTTGGTTACGGGAGATGATTTCGATGGGATTGAATAGTCTACGGATGTCGACGCCTTGACTGTAAAGCTTAGGTTTTTCGAGACGCAAATGAATTGGGGAGAAAAGGGTCGTCTTGAATTGAAGTGGAGGGTGAAAGATGAGGATGGCGCGTGAGAGAATACAGAGGACGCCATTAATGGAAGATAATCGAGCTTGGATCTGCTCGGAATTTGCGGACTTCAGCTGAAATGCTATTTTTCTGGTTTGGATATATCAGTTGAAGAAAGTTCGCGGTTTAGGTATTTTTGACTACTAAAATTTATTTTACAGAATGTTACAAAATGTTGCAAATATTGACTTTAGTAGGTTCACATATTTTTTTGCAATAAAAGTATATACTTTTAGAATAAAAATCATTTTTTAAAAAAAAAATATATAAATATATATTTAGTTCATTTTTAATAGTATAATTATAATACAATTATAATCTTTGTTCTAAAAGTCTGCTGTCTCTGCCTCCGATTTGCATAAATCGGCTAAAAAAATCGATTATGCTTGATGGCGCCTAGGTGGACCTAGGTGCTCTTAGGCGGGCTTGACGGAAATTTTTCAACTTTTTTTTTTTATTTTTATAAACACTAAGTACATTATTTTGTTATCATATTTTTTATAATATATTAATATTATTATTTGGACTTTCGTGTGTTAATTTATTATAAGTTTAGATAGTGAAAATAATGAAATAAATAACAAAAATGTATTTAATCTTAATTACTTCGCTTGGACGCCAACTAGGCCCCGCCTAGACGATCTAGGCGCTAGGCACTAGTTGAGCGTCTAGGGGTGCCTAGTGATTTTTAAAACACTGATTATAATTCTTCTCACCTTTGGAGTTATTTTTAGGACATGAACATTGCTTGATGTATGCAAATTTCAATGTATTTGAAACACTAATATGATAATATTTATTCAACAATTATTTTATACTGAAATAATATCATCTCAACTTATATATATAATCATATTAAACAAGCATAATTTACAAAATAATACTAAGTCTAATACGTGAAATTTGTAAATTGTAAGTAAGTACTTCAAATAAAAAAAAAAAAAAAAAAATATATATATGACAAATCAATCGTATAATGGTTAGATCTTAACAACTTTTGTGTTTTGAATGAGTATTCGAGGTTAGGTAGTATTCTTTTTACTGACTAAAGTCTTTACTTGCATGTGCCTTCACGAAGAACTAATCAAATTCATCATATATTCATATATGCTCTTTCTTTACTACATTACATGAAAATTTCATTAATATGTACCGATCCAAAAAAAAAATCAATAAATATGCGCACGCGATCCTCGTTAAGTATAAGGGCTTGATTGTTTATGAAATAATTTGTTCAAAATGAGTTATTTTAGTTAATCATAGTTAATTTTGAAAAGGTAGTATTATTAGTTGTTAGTTGAATTTTAAAAATGTATTAAAATAATATTTAAAATGAAATAATTAAAATTGTTTTGATGTAAAAGTAAGAGATAAATGATTGGAAATAATTGGAAATGATAGGTAGTTAAAAAAATGTGAGTGGATGAATAGTGAATTAAAGTTGATGTGATATGTAAGAATGATTGGTTTATATTATTTAATTATATGAATAATATTAAAGATAGTGGGGTTGAGTTAAAGTTGAGTTAAATTTTGAGTTGAAATAAAAATGAGTAAATTAATCCATAAACAAACAAGCCCTAATATATATATATATATATATCCTCCTTATATATAATTTCAGAATGCGCTGAGCCTACGTGGCTGTTTCTGGTGCTTCGGAATTCTACTTGGCGAAGAATCATGCTTCGTAGTTAGGTTTGGACAAATAATATTATATATTAATAATTAATAATCTAGGTTCGGGTATTCTATAAATATTATTTAGCTAATTTAGGTATTTTAATATCAATTGTACTAATATAACCCTTTAATTCTTTGTAATTTTAGATAGTGAGTCACTATGTGACTAATATATCCCTGACTTTTGATTTGTTTCCTACAATTAGCTATTGAATTGTAAATGTATTTTAAAAGTTGATAACTTTTGTATTTCTTATCGGTTTTACATATATAATATATTAAATTAATCATCTTTTGATGATCTTCGATTTGACATCCATATTGTATATATAAAATAAATAAATTAGATTTATCTTTATAATAATAAAAATTAATAATATTTACTAAAATTCATTAGAAAAATAAAATTATTTCTCAAGTAATATATTTATGTTTATTGTAGTTATATATTGTAAGTTAAAAAAATATTATAGTATAACACAAGTAAGTCGCACAAATAAAAATTGTCATACTAAATATAATAATATTAATATTTTTAAAAGGAACTTAAATTTTCAACTACTTTTTTCAGTAATTTTAAATTTTAAGAAAAAAATTAACAAGCACCCGTGTAATGCGCGGGCGTTTGTACTAGTATATATTATAGGATAATGTTCTCATACACACGGTGAGTACATATTAATATGTCTACCATTATTGATGATGTTAATATATTCAAAAAATACATTACTAATATGTGTCCGCCACATAAACCGTAGGCATATTAATATTTACCCACCGTGGGTAGGTGAACATATATTATAAGCTGGAAAAAAGGAGTAAAAAGTGATCTGAAAAATGTCAAGAGTGGGATTTGAACCCACGCCCTTTCGGACCAGTACCTGAAACTGGCGCCTTAGACCGCTCGGCCATCTTGACTTGTTGGTTTGAGAAAGATAAATATTACCTTAGAGTAGACAACTGTTAATATTTTTTTGGTGATGATTAAACCATCATCGCATAAAAAACCTACTCTCAAAATTTCATTGTTTGGAAGTCCAAGCTACACATAACATGAATATAACAGAAGGGATATGAACACACCACAGGTGTCTGGTTTCTTTCGGTCGAGACTGAATATGGCTTGCATTCGAATTTTTTTTTTTCTTTCGCTGGAGATTGCGTACGAAAAATATTATTGGGAGGTTTTGGATAATAACCATACGATAAGTATGCATTTTTGCTCAATAGACATATTTATGTCGTTCATGCGAGGCCAAGCTCGTATTTGACATGACAGTAAAAATAATCAAACAACACATAATGTGTTATCATGTGTTGTTCTGTATAAGATTCTGGCCGCTCAGACTCATAAGTCATATCACTCGATGAGACAGGAGAATACTTTTTCCAGCCTCTTTACATGTTCTTTCATCAACCATAAACCTCCTGCGAGAAAAAACATCACCCCATCTTCCAGCTTCAGCATACATATTAGACGAAACCACAAAATTTGTCGGCTCGCGAGATTCTTTTAGTTCTCTCACGCTCGTACCCAAGTTCAATCCAAGATTGATTTGTCCATGAACCCTACACCCATTCATCAACATTCTCCAAACGAGCGCATTCGGTTCAATAGTCATCTGCTGAATAAAGCTTTGAGCATCTTCGAATTTTCCAGCTCTAGCAAGCATATCAACCACACATCCACAATGCTCGATTCGCGGCTTAATGCGGTAGGTTTCATGCATTAAGTCGTAAAATTTTCGCCCTTCATCAACCAAACCCGCGTGATCGCACGCGGATAAAACTCCGATAAAAGTGACCGAGTTTGGAACGTATTTCTCTTCGCACATTCGTTTGAAAATAGAAAGAGATTCATTTCCTTCGCCGTTCACCGCGTAGCCCACTATCATCGAAGTCCATGAGATAACATCTTTTATCGGCATCCCGTTAAAAACAGCCCGAGCTTTTGTAATGCTCCCACATTTTGCGTACATGTCGATAAGAGCATTGCCCAAAACTACACTTCTTTTGAAGCACTCTTTACTCTCCACAATGGAGTGCGCGTGAATACCCGTGCGTAAATCCCCGGTATCACGACAAGCCATAATTAATCCAAGAATCGTCACTTCATCTGGCTCTAAATCTCTCGATTTGATCTCATCAAGTAGCTTTAAGGACTCGTGAGCAAGCCCACTTTCTATATATGAATGTATCATAGAATTCCAAAACTCAATCTTTTGCTTAGGCATTTCATCGAATAATTTCCTGGCATACCCCACGTTTCTACATCTTGCATACATGTTCACGAGAGCTGTCCCTACAGAAACATCACAGTCGAGCCCACTAACTTTTGCACGAGCATGGATCATCCTCCCGAAAGAAAGTTCTTTGCAAGCAGACAATAAGCTGCTGAAAGACACCTTATCAGCTCCCACATTCTCGAGCCTCATTTTCCTAAACAGGAATAATGCACGTACAAAATCACCAGCATTAGCGTACCCCCAAATCATAGAATTCCACGAAACAACATCTCTTTCCGGCATGCTTCTAAAGACACTCTCCGCATCTAAGATACGCCTTGATTTAGCGTACAAATCAATAAGCGCATTGCATATTTCAAGATTGAAACCAAATCCCATCTTAGAACAACAGCAATGGAGTGCATTTCCAGACCTCAATCCCCCAATTTGAACACAACCAGATATCAAAATCACGAAAGTAACATAATTTGGCTTCACGTTCAAACCATAACACCCGCTGAACATTTTAACAAACAACCTTAAACCCACATCAAGGTTTCCCCTGTTAATATTCCCAGATATCATACAATTAACAGTAACAATGCTTTTCTCGGGCATTTCATCAAACACCATGGCTGCATAACTCATCAAATTCGCGGGACCCATGTAAAAACTAACAAGGCTGTTCAACACATTCACATTATAATCCAACCCAACCCTAACAACATGGCCGTGTACCGACTTACCTTCAATCAAGGCGCGAGCTTTATTACAGGCTTTAATCAGGGAAGCGTAAATAAAGGGGTCGCCGTGAAAGGTGGCCGCGTCCCGCATTTCCCGGAATAAAGACATAGCCTTTAGAGGGTTGGCGGCCGAGGCATGTCTGATCATGAGGTTCCATTTGTCGGGTTCGCGGACTTGAGGGAAAAGGTTCTCGGCGAGGGAAATGGTGGAAGGGTTAGAGAGATAGAGCTTGAAGAGAGAGAAAAGAATGGAGGGGTTGAGATATTGGAGGCCAGTTGTTACTAGGAGAGTGTGGATTTGGGGGAGATGAAGAGGGGTTAGGAGATTTGAGGGTGGCTCTTGGAGAAAGAGTTGAGCTAATCGAATTTGAAGAGAGCGGCAATTCATGTCAGTCATGAAGTTGTTACATGACAATGATTTGAAAATATACACATCTATTATAAAACCAATAAAACCAGGAGAATGTTGCATGCAACCATTTCGTCGAGAAACCATTTCGTCGAGAGTTTTAACCGTTGATCATTTATTTTATACTAGTTATATGATGATCAAACGATTAAAAATTCCGACGAAATGGTTCCGTAATAGGACTACGTAATTCTCCAATTTTTTCATTTGTCGTTCTTCTCCGTTCTTCCCCGAATATCCCCTTTTTCTTCGTTTGAGTCCCCGTTATTCCCCGGATTATTTTCTCGATTGTTTTTTGTGGACTGGACTCTGTGATTTTTCAACCTCATGTATCACGTTTTCTCCCATTCTCCGTTCATAATCCTCATTTCTCTGGATTCTTTTGTCGAATGCACTCCCTTATTTCCCAGCCTCGGTTTGGTTCTAGTTTCGTTTCCCATCGCCACCTCCATGGGCTCTGCAACATATTCTCCAAGAAATCAATGTCTCTTCAGAGGTCTTGGTCTTATCTCGAGTTTCTACTGCTCCCATAAGTGATGGTCCGAGCATCGTGTGGCGACCTTGTGTTCGTTTCCCCCGTCGGCTGCCGGTCAAGATCTGATTTCTACATTTACAACCACTTGCGGATAATAAACAGTGTTTGTCGACCACATTCTTCTACAAGAATCACAGTAAACTTAAATATCTGGATAAATGTGTAGCAACATTTTTTTCTGTATTAGGTGAAATAGCAGAAGTTTTCTTAATGTACTACTTGGCAGTATATTTTATTGGATAATATTTATTATTATTATTATTATTATTTTATGAAACTACCCATATCTGCATTTGCTTTCCGTAAGAAAAAGAATTTGGAGCAAAGAATTTGGTTGTGAATGTCGTGGTTGTGAAAAAGCTGTGAAAATTGTGGCTGGAAGATAGTACAAGTCTGTAGGCACGGGAGAGGTGGTTTACGACGGCGGCGGCAGTTTAGAGTAACCCGTTTAATAAGAGTTGTCTTTTAATTAGCACAATTTAATAAAATTCAGTTTTTTTCTTGCCCCAATAATAAGGAAAAAATTGATGACTTGGACTGACACCTCAGGAAGTTAACTTCATGCGGTGGGAAATAGACGGGGGCTATAGCAGTATTGTTCAATATCTTTGAGAGTTGACTATTAAACCCCACATTTCTCTTCATCAATTACCACACACACACACACACACACACACTTGTTTTTGCAGTGATCAATGACTAACACTACCCACCACCAAAGCCTCGTCCCCGAAAGACGCACCACCGTCGCGGCTTGAATCCTGGTGCCAAACCTTCGACCCGCCTCTGGTCACCTTTCCAATTGCTTTCATAGTAGTGATTATTAAATTCTCAGTCCTCAAGCCCCACTTCTCGACTTCCGTAATCGAGTCAGTCTCCTTCTCTCTCTCCACGGATTAAAGTACCTCGAAACCGAGCGATTACAGCTGCACGAGCACGAGCACGGCCGTGTGGGAGCTAGGGTTTGCTGTGTGGAAGCTCAACGGCTACGAAACCCATGATTTAAGTGTGTGGCGGCTCATGCCTTCGCCCCAGTGGTCGGGGAAAGTCGTGGTGCCCTTGTACACGGAAGACGGTGGCTCGAGCCACGAGAGCGTATCTCTACTCACGTGCGGTCAAGCTGAGTCGAGAGTGCTCGAGTGCGGGATGGTGTTCAAGGGTGGTTATGATGAGTATGTGTTCAAGGCCATGTGCAAGAACGTGAGAGTCGGGGTGGCGGACGGGAATGATAAGAGTCATGTTGGTCGTTGGATTATGGTTGGAGGGTGAAGATCGTGTCCCGTTACTCGTTACAAGGAGATTAATTGATTGAGCTTTCACGTAGGATCGCCTCGCACGTGCTATTGTAATTTGTGCATCTTTATTCGACTTGATTGAGTTCTCCTATTTTGATATTTTTCTTATTTTATTGTGCTACTGTTTGTGTTAACTTGGTTCGACCCGGTTAAGTTTTCCTATTCTTTGCCAATGTTTGTATAACTTTGGTTCTAACTCGGTTAAGTTCTCTTGTTTTGTTTTGTTTTGAGTATGCTATTGTGTGTGCAATCTTGGTTTTCACTCATTAAATTGTTTTGAGTGTACTATTGTGTGTGCAGTCTTGGTTCCAACTCAATTTAAGTTCTTTTATTTTGAGTGTGCCATTGCATGTTCAATTGATAATACGGCCGTGTAGGACTTAGGGTTTTCGTTTGAGAAGCTCCGCGACACCATAATCAGGGATTTCAACGTGTGGGCCGGGTGCAAGCCTTCGCCCGAGTGGTCAGTGAAAGTCGTGGGGCCTAACTTTTACATTGAAGACAAAGGCTCGTGCCTCGGGAACGTGTCATTGGGCACAGTTGGGGCGACTGAACAAGTCGAGTCGAAGGTGCTCGACTGTGGGGTGATGTTCGTGAATGACTAATCGGATCACATATTCACGGCCGTGTGCGAGAACATGAGAGTCGAGGTCTCGGGGAATGAGATTGGTCGTTGGATTATGGCTGGACGGTCAAGATTGTGTCCGGTTAAATTATCACAAGTAGATTCTTTTATTTTATTTTTTTGAGAACGATAGATGCTATAGATAAAAATACATAATTACAACTAAAAAACAAATAGAATGAGTCAAATAGTCGTTTAACCGAATAAAGGAAGCCTATTTGATCGAGCTTTCGTGTAGGGTCACTAGGTTTTTGTTCACTCTTGTCTTTTTATTTTTTATTTTTCCCTTTATAATGCACTTATTTTGAAATATTAATTTTATTTCATTTCGATTTCATAACTTTTAGTTACATATGTTAAAAAAATATTGTACAATGTTAAAATTCCAAATTAATTTTAGTGCAATTTTTTGTTGGACTTGGATGACTTTACACAAGTTTTGCAACTATCCGGATTATTTAAGGAATAAATAGCGTCCAACAAAAATATAAATATTTTCACAACAATAAACAGTTTGGAACAGATACGTTAACAAGGGCACTTGGTGAAAGATTCGACTGAGGATAGATATAGCGAAACCCAGGGGCCAAACCCAATTCCGGGCCGATTTTGAGTCAAAATCGTCGATTCTGGTCTAAGGGTTGGCTAGCACGAACATATGCACGGATCGATTCAGTGAAATATTTGCTTCCACCTTTATTAATTAATAACAACTTAATTAATAAAGTAAAGCATCGTACCGAATTTAGCTTTTATAAGTCGTAAAATATGGTCACGGAGCTCCTAAATCCTAAAAAATATGGTTACACAAGATAGAGCTATTGATTTGAGCAATACGGGCCGATCCATGTATTGGATAACCTAAGATTGGCCCAAATCCCTATAATCATATTTTTGCTCATTAGCCCAAAATTTTGCTCCCTATCTTTTTTTTTTTTTTTTTGACGTACTAATTCATTGATCGACTCGGGTTGTACACTTAATAGTGGTGGGAGCCACGGTATTCAGAACTATATTTCGACTAATCTATTGATCGACCCGGGTCACACACCTGACAGTGATGAGTGAGTCTCTCAACAAGAGTTTTCTGTCCGAAACCTTACTTAAGCCACATGACATGACATACGCCCGAGTCAAGTCCCTATCTTTTGACTCAACAGTCAACAGTGCACCCTAACTCCCTTTCACAGGCTAGAGCTGCTCTCCTCTCTTCATTCTCTTCTCCGCCTGAGGGTTTTTTTTAGGGTTTTAGCTGAGGCTCTCTATAACCAAACAAAGTCCACAAGAATTTCTCTTTTGCTTTGTTGAAATCGTACGGATTTGAAGAGAAATGGGAGCAGACAAAGGGAAAAAGCAGAAAGTAGGAGAGGTGGAGGAAGAGAGAAACGGGACCGAGCACATTGATGGAGACCTTCTTATCTCTATCGAAAAGCTTCAGGAAATTCAAGATGAGCTTGAAAAGGTGATTTTTTTTTTTTTTTTT